TCTTTATTTTTAATGGTATTGTATTGCTTGCAAAACTAAAGACATCCACTCTGCTCCCTCTTCATTCTTAGGCTTCAGAAATTAAGGCACTGGAGAAGAATGAGAAGAACTTCATTGAGCTGATCCAGTCTATGAAGGACAATCAAAGCAAAGTGACAGTGCTGATTCAAGGACAGACAAAGTCTGCAGTGAACGAAGCAGAGGGATTCATAAAGATTCTACAGCAGGAGATCAGTAATATGAGGACCTTAGATGCTGATCTACAACGCCTGCAGCTGCTCTCTCATACAAACACAGATGTTCGATTTCTAGAGGTACAGTAATGGAAAATTACTGTACAGAAACAGAAATGAATGCCTGTTGAATTGTCTTGTAAAATCTTCAGGTAAAAGTTCAAGTCACATTCAAGGCGTGTTTTCTCTCTCTACAGAGTGCTGTGTCTCTGACCTCACTGACTGAGTATAAAAAAACATTCGTCTTCCTTGTGCATCCGTACAATTCTTTTGAGCGTGATTCCATGGCGGTTAATGAACTAATAGAAAAGCTAAACACGACCAGCAAGTTGAGTTTATTCATGATTTCCAGAAAAGGTTAGTAAAAGTTTTCATTTAAATATATTTCATGATTATATTATGGGTACTTCTCAGTTGAAAGGCTGCATTCTAGTGTTTAATGCTGAGAAGAACTCTAGCCTGGAAGCCTCAGAAGAACACAGCCTCACTAGTAATCAGCCTTTCAATTAAAGGATTAGTTCACTTCCAGGATAAACATTTCCTGATAATTTACACACCCCCATGTCACCCAAGATGTTTATGTTTTCTTTCTTCAGTTGCAAAGAGATTAAGTTTTTTGAGGAAAACATTCCAGGATTTGCTCCATACAGTGGACTTCAGTGGCAGCCAATGGGCTTCAAAGGGCTCTATAACGATTCCAGCTGAGGAATAATGGTCTTATCTAGGGAAACGATCAGTCATTTTCTAAATTTGTTTTTTAAATTTTTATTAGAAAATTACCTATCGTTTCACTAGATAAGACCCTTATTCCTTGGCTGGGATCGTTATAGAGCCCTTTGAAGCT